AATGATTGTAAAAAAATTTTCAATCCCCCAATCATGCAAACAAGTCTATATCAGTTTTTCAATCGTTTCTCCCTTATGATTCAGAACAATACAAAAACTCAAAATACGCTTATTAAGTTTCAAACCAGAATCAATAAACTGTGCAGCAAGAGACATGTAATTGACATTTTGAATGGATGTCCAAGTATTAGTTGTGAGAAAAATTCGTTGATGGTGACATGAAAAGATATCTCCCAATTTCAACTTTTCATCTAAATATAACTAATAAATGTCTTTAACGAGAGTCCTACGAGATGGAGCCTAAAATTGAGAACATACAACACTACAAAATTGTCTTCAACAGACCTAAACGGTAATTTCTCTATTACTATCATTTGAGCACAAGCAATCCTACACTCTTCCTTACTCCGGCCAACATCTATAAGATTGTTCCCATCTCCTTCCTTTTTCTTAAAAGACAACAATTTTTGCTTTCGATTTTGTAATCTACCAGGTTATTTTTACAATTATTTGTCAAATGGTTACCCAAAGTACTCGTATTACATTTCTTAGTACCACAAGCATAATCAACTCCACAATAGTTACACTTACACCTAACATCCGGATCATCTCTTGAGCCTAATAATGTAAAATAGTTCTAAACATATGAAGCCAGTCTATTAGATTTTCGCTTATGTGATGTTGAAGATATACATGGAGGAAGATCTGAGAGCAAATCATCTGATGGTGTTGCAGTGTCATTTTCTTCACAGATATCTACATCTTTTGTATCCATTTTACACCTGTATTAGTACAACCACAAAAAAGATTAATAGAAATGAAACAATAAATTTTACAAGTACTAAGCTATTGAATTAACCTATTTTTTTTCTCGAATTCTATGGTGAGGTGAGGATTAGAGTTAGACTACTTCGCAAATACTACGTTCACCATAATCTATGTTAGAAGAAGAGCTATAGTAAACCTATCTATTTTTGATTTGTTGTATTGCATTTCAAATCAGATAATAAATTTTAGTGATCGGAGTAGCCTTTTGAGTTGGAAGATTAAACACGCTACTGGTGATGTTTTTGCTCTTTCTTGTTTTAATTGTGTAAATTAGAAAAGAAACTGCTTTATGCAATCATCAGTAACTTGTTTTGGATGATAATTACCTCGTGACACCATTATTCCAATGACAATTACAGAGTCATCATATTCAAAATTGCAGCTTCAAAACAACAAAAAATTAATGACTACCAGGGATTTTCGATCTTAGATGTTCGGTAATTGACGTCGGCATGAGAAAATTGTGTGTTTGTGACTTTGTATTGTCTATTTTGGGCCTTTTTTATTTCTAAAAGGCAGGTCAGGTCGAGTGATTTCAATTGGTTTTCATGGGTCAACCCATGACACGAACCGCATTCATCGCCCAAAAATGGAACTCAACTGTAAAATAAAAAAAAAAATAAATAAATAAAAAAAAAACCGGACCCAAACGGATTGGTTTGGGTCGATTTGGGCAGTTTGAGCGAGTTTTTTAAGTTTTGCCCAACCCTAAACTCAATTCAAAACTCCATAATCACATAGTAGTTGTAGTCATGTAATTTTACCTTCTTTATTTATTTATTATTATTTTTTCTAATTTACCACCACATGGCTAATAATCTATATCAAACATAGTGACAATAAAGAAGATAAAAACACAGGATTCCTACATAAGCCATTATTTGAAATATATACAAGAAATAGAATCTTAAAGTCGTGAAGTAAATAATATTTACGATAGATACTATATTTTTTACAACATGCAAAGTTCTTACAATCAATCCATTGTTTAATATTTAAATCAACCAAGTCAAAATATTCATTGAAATTTAAGGCTAGGGGTATTGTTATAATATGTGACTTATATAGAGTGGAACATATGTTAATTGGAATAAATAAGTCAATGTCGAAGTGGAGAAGAGTTGAGCATGGTAGCTCATCAAACGGTACGGTACAAGGGCATTTTTGGATTTTTCCTTAAAGACTTGTAGGGACCCTGAAGTCTTGTATGAGCCAATGTTAGTATATATACGATGTAACCATATTATTCATACATAATACAAATCGTAGCTGTTTCGCTCTCGTGGATGTAGGCAAATTGTTAGACCATGTAAACCTCTATTTATTTTCTTTCTTCGTTGATTATATATCATTCATCTTTGTTTGGTATTAGAGCGTAGATTTATGATGTCTGGATTTCTTTTGCGAAGTTTGATGTGCTCAAGTTCAATGAAACTAAGAATTTGAATTATAGCAGAAGAGGGTAAACAATTTATTAGTATAGCAAGGCATGAAGACGACATTATACGGAAAGAAGCCGATAGGTATGGATGACACAAATTGGGAGGAGCAAAAAATGAAGGCTATGGCAACTATTAGGCTTTGTATAGTTGATGATGTGATGTATCACGTCATAAATGAGAAATCACTGGCTGAAATTTGGATGAAGTTGGAGAGTCGACACATGTCCAAGTCATTGATGAAAAGGCTTTATCTTAAGCAAAAAATTATATGGTCTTAAAATGATGAAGGGCTCATATTTGAGCCAACATATTAACATTTTCAACTAGGTTATTAGTGATCTGAAACGAGTTGATGTGAAGTTCGCAGATGAAGACAAAGTGTTGACGTTATTGGATACTCTACGTGCTTTTGCTATGTACGAAAGTTTGGTCATGACTTTGATGTGGGGGAAAAGAAACACTAGAGTTGGAGGACGTTATAGATGTCCTATTAAATTTTCATTTGAGTAAATATTGGAATAGATCGGAATTATAACATTTGATGGTGTTGTTAGAACGTTGAGTGATGTTAAACATGTGATTTGACTCCTACATGATCAGAATTGGCTACATGATATGTGAGTATGATTGTTGTGTTTATGTAAAGAGACTTTGACAATAGTTTTTTTTTTAAATTTTCTTTTTACTTTATTTGGATGATATGTTGATTACTGCGATAAGAATGAGTGAGATTGACAAGTTGAAAACTTTGTTGAGAAGAAAATTTGACAAGAAGTATTTTGGGTGTGTCAAAGGAGATTCTTGGGATGGAGAATTCCCAAGGACAAATATTCCACAATATTATGGTTATCTTAGTGCAGTTATGTTAAGAAGATGTTAGAGAGGTTTAGCATAGGTAATGCAAAACCAGTGAGTATACATTTAGCGACATATTTTAGATTGTCTACTGCTTTGTACATGAAGATAGATGCTAGAAATGAAGACATGTCAAATGTTCTATATGCTAATATAGATGGGTGTCTACTGTATGCTATGGTTTGTACAAGATAGGATTTGACACAAGGTATTTGTGGTGAGCAAGTTTTTTACAAGTCCAGGACGAAAGCATTGAGATGCAGTGAAGTGGATTTTCAGATACTTGAGAGGTACTACACACTATGACATCATGTTTAGCAAGCAACAAAATGATCTTTTAATTATGGGATATATGGATTCAGGTTATGATGTGAACTTGGATTTGCCAAAAACTTGCTCAGTGCATTAACAGCTTATGCCAAATTCAAGCTTGTACAAACCATATCATATGTTAGACATCCACTGCACTAGCACATGGAAGCTTTTGACATGTCTTCATTTTTAGCATCTGTTTTCGGGCACTGAGCAATAGATAATCTAAAATGATTTGCTAAAGGTGTATTTACTGATTTTGCATTACCCATGATGAACATTTCTAATGCCTACTCAACATAACTCCATTGAGATAACCGTAATTTTTTGAAATATTTGTTCCTACGAATCTCCATCCCAAGATTCCGCTTTGCCGCATCCAAATCCTTTATATCGAACTCTCTTCTCAACAAATTCTTCAACTTGTTGACCTCACTCATACTCTTCGCAGCAATCAACATATCATCTACATAAAGTAACAAGAGAATAAAATAACCATTGTCAAGGTTCTTTTCATAAACACAACAATCATATTCACATCTTCTATAACCAATCCTAATCATGTTGGAATCAAATCGCTTGTACCACTCTCGAGAAGACTGCTTCAACCTATAAAGTGTCTCACCAATTTATAGACCTAGTGCTCTAGTTTAGGCTAATTGAACCCTTTTGGTTACTCTATATAAATCTGCTCTTATAAATCTCCATGAAGAAAATATGTCTTTACGTTCATCTTCTTCAACTGCATGTCCAAATGTGCTGCTAAAGCCAACACTGCAGTGGCTAAGGTTGCCAAGGAAGCTTTATGCCTTACATGAATGGTCAAGGAGTTGGGTGCTCAACAAGATGGAGTTAAGTTGAAATGTGACAGTACTAATCATGCAGATGTGGAGTTTTATAGGATCATAAAATTAGTTTCTTCCTGTAAACTACCATTTGAGAAAGTTCACACTTCTGAAAATGCAGTAGACATTGTCACGAATAAGTTCAAGCATTGCTTGACCTTGATTAGAAAAGAGGCATCACAACCTATTGGTCCTAGATAGTATTTTTCCCAATTATGTTTCTCTATTGTTTCTCCAAAGGAGTGGATATTCATCACGGTGGAGATTATTGTAATATGTGATTCATATAGAGTAAAATACATATTTATTGTTATCTATTTGTCAAGGACACTTAATATGTTCCGGGTGCGGGACAGCGCCCCCATAGTACAGTACATGGGCATTTTTGAATTTTTTTTTCTTACTTGTATGAGCACTAAAGTGTTGTATGGGTCATAGTTAA